CAACACAGTCCATGGGCTAGGTGTCCCACAGGTAGTGTAGCTTGCAAATTGAGGCACAGAGCAAGCAAGGCAGCCGCACACTGGTCCGATGATCAAAGAGCAAGAGACAAGAGAGGGGAGGCCACCGGAGCCACTCAATCTCAGCCCTTCAATTAATCCTACATGTATTTATCGGCCAGGTTGGCACAATAATCTAACTACCTCATTGCCTCATCTTCTTAGTCAAAAGAGAAGAAACCCAGGCTTCTTAGGCATAACATGTACAAATTCCATCTATTGTTCCAGGAATTAAGGAGCCTAGTGGTGCTGCAGGTCAGCCATTAGGCTGTTAATAGCAAAGTCGGCAATTCAGACCCACCAACCCCTCCTCCAAAAAGATGCGGCTGTCTGCCCTCTCCCTCTGTAGGGGTCAGAATCCACTCGAGGGTAGTGGCGGTTCCATACCTTACTACTTCTCGCCACCATCAATGCTGACTTATGGGGACCCTAGAGGACAGGGTAGAACTGCCTCTGTGGGTTTCCGAGATAAAAGTAGAAAGCTCCCTCTGGCTCCCACCTAGTAATTGAACACCTCAACAAATAAAATGAGAATCCTAAAGGAGTACATTGTCGACTTGTTTCCCTGGACCTAACACGCTTTCCCTCTTCCTTCATCTCCATGTAGGTTTACATCTTTGAGATACTGTACCTTTCCTTTCCAACAACTTGGCTACCGATTCAAAGAAAATAAAGGAGATTTGCAGCTCTAAGAGACCAACATGGTGAGGAATATCTTGGCTCATAGAAGTTGTTCAAATTTATATGACTGGTTTCAGGGATTCCCCACCCCATGTCTTAGGGGTGCACTGAATAGGGATGTGTGGTCTGGATGTGGTCCCACCTCTTGCACGTGCACCACACAGAGATCGTGGAACAGAAATGACAGTGACCTCTCCTCCTACCCAAATTAAAGCCAAGCACTGCTATCAAACTTATTTCAGCTCATAGTGACCCTGGTATCACAGTGAATCATGTACTGGACAGTTCTAACTCACCAGCCACTCTACAGGAGAAAGATGAGGCTGTCTGCTCCCATTAAAACTTACTGCCTCAGAAACCCACAAAGGAAGTTCTACTCTGTCCTAGAGGGTTGCGATCAATAAAGGTAGACTAACTTCTATCAGGCTGAGAGATTTGGGAGGATAGAACAATGCATCCACAGTGTTGTTTGTTTAGAAGAGATTTGAACGGTATCCAGAAAGTTACCCTAGATATCTCATTGCTGCTTCTTCAGAAGAGATCTAAAGGGTTCCAAAGTTCTGAACATAGGTCCTCCTCTGTGGACAGAGATGACCATGACTTGTTGCCACCCCACCCACCTCACTCACTATGACATGCTGCCCCACCCAGCCAGAGAGGACAGGTCTAGCTGTAAGTGAAAAATCCAATCAGCAAGGGGAAGGCTTTTCTGAAGATTCCGATGTTCAGTTGGAAGTCCCCATTGGGAGCAGTGCCAGGGAATAGAAGAGTGAGCTCACAGGTAATTGTGATAGACTGAGATGACCCTCAAAAGGTGTATCTAAAAAGAATAGAAAGAAAAAAATAGAGGGAGAGTAATGAAAGGACTCAGGAGAAGGTAGTAAGAAAGGAATGAAAGCTATGATGCTTCAAGGGGAAGAGAAAAGAAGAGATGACTGTGAAAGTAGAAGGGAGTTTAGGGATTCCACTTCTCTTACATGGGATTTGGACCGGAAATTTGATTTTGGGAGAGTGATGAAAACCAAAATACCAAACTCACACCCATCAGGTACATTTTGCCTCCCAGCAGCTCTGTGGGACACAATAGAACTGGCCCTCTTGATTTCTACAGATGTGAATCTTCACAGGAGCGGAAAGCCTCATCCTTCTTCCTTACAGTGACTGGTGGGTTCGAACCTGCAGTAGTAGCATGCCAACTAACCCATTAAACCACCAGGGCATCTTGGTGCAGTGGCTAGGAGATGCCATTCCTAAGAGCAATGGTTCTCAAACTATGGATCGCAACCCCTTTGGGTGTTGAATGACCCTTTCATAGAGGTTGCACGATTCATTACAGTAGCAAAATGACAGTGGTGAAGTAGCAACAGAAATCATTTTATGGTTGGGGGATCACCACCACATGAGGAACTGTATTAAAGGGTCACGGCATGAGGAAGGTTGAGAACCACTGGTCTAAGAGCCAGCCATCTGCTCCCTCCTTCTATAGCTATATCCTTTTGGTCCATGCTGCTGTTTCAGCTCTTACTCAGAATCAACTCAACCTATGACAACGAATTTGTTAAAAAGCAGCATAACCATGTTGGGTAGTTGACTTTTTTCATAACTTCTACCTCTTCCATTTTCCCTCTGTTTTCCTACAGGTTTAGGTTAGTGAGTATGTTTTCCAGTAGACACACCTTTCTAAAACCTTCACATTTTAGCTGTGACCGTGACCGGGTGAATGGTGTCAAGGAATGGTAGCCTAAGTGTGAGACAGTTTGAAAACAACTAAGTTAGGGGACAATAATTCATATTATTTACTTATTTTGCTTATTGAAATTTAGCTTATGCAAAGTATGGTAATTGACTAGGGACTATGGGGAGTCATTGTCTCTACTTGACTCTTTCTTATGTGAACAAAATGTTCAACTTCTGCCTGCTTCCTCCTGCATCCACTACTTATTCAGCACTAGCAGCTTCGTTTCCTTAACAAGTATTTGTGTCACCTTTGCAGGAAATGTACAATGGAAGAAGTTGAACAGGACCCAGTTGAGGACATGTAAGTGATGAGAATGTAAAAGAATTCAGAAGAGTATTAATCTCTAGAGGAGCCTGGATGGCTTAGTGTTATGCATGTGTTGGGCTGCTAAACTCAAGGTCAGCAGTTTGAAACCACCCCTGGCTCTATTCCCATAAAGAGTTACAGTCTCAGAAACCCATAGCGATAAGTCTATAGGTTTGCTATGAGTCAGAGTTGACTTGAAGACAGTGCGTTTTTAATTAGACCCTATACCCAAGTGTTAAGGAAAAATTGTCCTATTTATATGGGGCATTCTCTCCCCTGGAAAGACTTCCTGGGGAGAAAAGCCTGTTCGGTTTAACTTCTCCATCCTAGAGACTAGTGGTGGACTTTTCAGGTAGAGTTAATGGCTCAAGTAATGGATCCATCCAGGTTGGAGTAAAGATTCACTCCCTCTCTTTTACCTGGCCCTTGTAAGCAGGTGAAGAAAGAAACTGAAGATATAACTCTCTTGAAAACCCTTACTTTATAGGCACGGCTCAAGTCACATAGAAACCACATAATTTTTCTAAAGAACAACGAACACATGTGAAATGCATTTCACGTGCCACCCAAACTGATGAGTTATTTTCATAAGCACCCAGAGCAGGATGTTTTTTACAAGTGGATGGCTTCATATTTTTAACCCTTCTGTGAAACCGATTTCATGCTCATCTTCATTGGCTGATGCAGTGGTTTGATTCTATCCTTGGGTCTCTACAGCAGCCCACCTCCTAAAAAGATCCTGTCCCTGAGCTACAAACTGCTTGCTCCAGGGAGCAATCCCCCTTTTCACCCCAGAAATGACTCTCACTTGTGTGGCTGGCCCAGCCCTGGAGGCACAGGGGCTAGAGAGGTCACTTGACTGGGAGGCAGACACTAAAACAATCGCAGTCGCTCTGTTCGACGCCAGCCGACTGGCCACCAGTGACAGGTCTGAGAGCCAGGAGGAGGTTTTGGGAATCCCTTGCTGGACTGAGATGAGTCTGAATGACCAACCACACGGTCCATCCACCTGGATGCACATGGGCCTGGCATGGACAAGGGCAACACAGCCAATGCTCCCTCCTGCCTTCAGAGAGCTAGCCTCTGACAGGCCCTCCCCCCACCTTCACCCAAACACACCTGAGCGAAGATTGGCTACAAGGACCTCCATCACTCTGAGGTCCAGCCATAACCTGCCCCAGAGCCAACATACCGCTTTAGGTGTTTATCATTTCGTTATCAGGATTTTACCAAACTCAATCCAATGTCTTGATCATGGCCTATACCTTTATCATACAGTTATAACCAAGAGTAATATATTCAGACTAGAGCTTGAAATTCACTAAGAAAATGTCACAAGACATCCTCAGTACATGCAGGAGTACCCTACGGCAGAAGGTCACTTCATCATTCCCTGCCATTACATGTGTGTGCCCAAGTGTGGGGGCACTCTTTTGAACAAAAAAAAGAATGTTACAATTGAACTACTCATATGAAGATATACATTTTGCTTTGTAGAACAACCAAAAGGAGTTGAGTTCTAGTGGGCACACTGGCACCTGAAGAGGAAGGAAGGAGCAAAGGGGGAAAGGCCCTTTTAGGGCTCCTGGTTTCCCTGTCCTTCGTTCAGTATTAGAGATGATTCCCTGTAGGTGTGATGCGATGGAGATCCCCAAGCTGGAAGTCACGAAGCAGAACCTGGACTACCTGAACTCAGACCTCGAAAAGGACCTGCAGAGGCTGGACCAGGAAAATCAGGTTCTTCTGAAACAGATTCAAGAGAAAGAAGAAATTATCCAAAGGTCAGGCGGGCATTGCGGGGTGAGGGAAGGCCTTCAGAGCCACAGGGGCGTCATTTGTCAGTGAATCTTCGTGCGTTCTTTAAATCTGGGAACATGGACTGCGGTGCCCACAGTGCCATTAGTTGTAGACATTCGCATTCAATCTGCGCATTTGGTCACCGTTTTCTTGCCACCGTTCTGGACGATCCTACTGGCCCCCGAGTCCCTTTGACAGTCATGTCGCACGCTGGGGCCCGGGAGTGGTTGTCGCTTCCTTAGGGCGCCGTGGCTTTATGTGTTTCAGTTTGGAAAGGGAGATCACCCGGTCAGTAGGCCTCGCCAACGAGAAGGACGAGCTGAGCAGCACCTTCGAGATGGAGGACGCTCTGAGGGACGTGGAATTGGAGACAGCAAAACTGGTGAGGAGGTGGCGGGGAGAGCAGCAGCTGATACATGTGGCTTGCAAGCGCAAGCGGGGCTCTCGCTTGTTGGGGGTGGGCGGTCCCTTCTGCATCTAGAAAACTCAGCGGTTTAAAGTTGTAGTCCTCTGGGATTGAAGCTCTGGGCGCAGGCACCAGCGCCTGGCCTTGGCTTCCAGATGTGCCCTGTGGGGCCAGACGGTCCTTGCTCCCTCTACACCGGATACATCATTATTTTTAAAGTGGCCGTGGAGGGAACGTTGACGCCCAGTGACCCGTGTGGGTCAGAATAGTACTGTGCCCCGTGGGAACTGTCAGGAGCATCATCAGGTGCCTCTCCCAAGTCTCTGCTAGGTGGATTCAAGCTGCCAGCTGCCAGTATTTGCCAGCAGTTGAGCACTTGGCCATGGGCAGCGCCTAAGGACGCTTGTGTGTGGCACCCTGATACCAGTCCAGGGGCACACTGAGGGGGAGGGGCAGGGGTACAGCCAGTGTGCTCCCTTTCGTCTCTCTCTCTGCAGGAAAAACACAATAAGATTCTAAGCAAGAATGTGCTGGAGCTTCAGAAGCAGGTACGGTGGGTTTGGGGGCTCCTGGAACTCCAGACACCAGACTGCACAAGAGATTGCTGGATGCGAGTGGGCTGAGAGCGGGGCGGGGAGGGACTGGTCACGTTCAGAGCGAAGGGTCACTTATATGTGCACACTCATGTGTGTTAAGACTATTCACAATGCCACAGGGCCCACGCTTGAAACGAGGCCCATTTCCAAGGCACCCCAACAGTCAGGGTGTTCCCGAACTCGCCAGCCGGAAAGATGAGTGGAAATAGCCAGCATAGCCGGTCTACTCCCTCTCCCCCTTCCTCCTTCCGGACTTCCGCGTACAGACTCAGGCGCATCCCCTCACTTGCTCCCAGGGAATTACAGATGGGTAATGAGAGCACTCCGGGACTGGGAAGGGAGGACAGGTGTGCCCCTTCCATTGCCGCTGACCCTGCTCCTTCTCCTCTCCCTCCCTGCACTTCTCACAGTGCTCCCATTGATGCAGGGAACAAAGGGGTCTGTCCAGGGAGTATCAGACAGACAGCTTCCACAGGGGAAAGGAAACACATTTCCATCAAGCTTCCTTGTGGGATTCAGCAGTCCTGGGATCCCCACATCTGCTGCTATTTCAGGCTTTCATTCTGTGCCCTATTTAATTCACAACTTTTGGAATGGAATTTCAGGTATCGAGGAGATTGAAGAAGGGTGGCATTGATACAGGAACCCTCAAGCAAATGGTGACAGAATCAAAGGTGAGTAGAAAAGCAAACCTAGAGGTTTTCTAGAAGCTGTAGTCCTTACTCCTTGGGCTGCCAGCTGAGAGTCCAGCAGTTCGAAACCACAGCTGCTCCATGGGAGACAGATGAGGCTTTCTACTCCCGTAAAGATTTAGAGTCTCAGAAACGTACAGGGGCAGTTCTGCCCTGCCCTATAGCGTCTGCAGGAGTCACAATTGACTTCCTTGATGGCAGTGAGTTTTTCGGTGTGGTTGTGTCCATTTCCGGTTCCAGATGGAAGCACTGTCTTCAAGGACTCACTTAGACGAGATATGTTGTGTTTGTCAGAGCTGGGCCACTTTCCCTGGTTCTCCCTATTTCCACCCATGGTCCATGGACCACACATGCACACGAGTGGCAGAAATGACTGCAGTGGCATTAAAGTTGAGTGGACTTGCTCTATAGACCTCGCCAATGACAGTCAGGAGAGTGTACATTGCTAATGCCCATCAGGCACTGCCTCCGAGTTTATCATCTGAATGAGAGAGGCGTGAAAATACAGACACGTAAAACAAAATAAATACGGTACTAGCCTCCACAAGCAAACAAGGGCAGAGCAGTGACCTATTCAGAGCTAGCTCATAGGCCAAGGGCATTTTGTTTTGTAATCTTTTCTCTAAAGATCAGCCCAGTGAGCTCATACATTATTTATTCACTGCTGTTTTCCCAAGGCCTACAACAGTGCCTGGCTCATAGAAGATGCCCAGTAAATATTTATTGAATTATTCAATGGATGGCCAGTAGGGGAAACTTTTTTGTGGAAACCTTATGCAGACTTAAATGAAGAATGTGACTGTTTGGGCTAATCCCAGAAAACACTGACCCCACCATCTTAGTTTTCTCTTTGGCAAATAGGAATAAAATTTCTGTTTCGTTCCATCTGTAATTCAGAGGACATGCCAGTGGGCCTATAGAATGTAGTCAGGAGACAGAAGCTGATGAGTTTTGGTTGGTGGGATTGGAGGAAGCAGAGGGTGGGGCCTAGGGACAAAGGAGTTAGACTGCTGCGGCTTAAATCTCAGCTCTGTGTGACTTTTAAGCAAATTCTTTAACTTCTCCATGCCTTTATTTCCTCATCTGTAAAATAGGGGAGGGGACCTAGTAAAAGTGCATAAGATTATTGTGAAGACAAGAGTCGATTGCTATCATACATCGTCAATATGTGATAACCATTATGATCATACTTTCTGCTGGCCTGTGGACAGAGGATAAAAATTGCCTGATTATCTTCCACAAAAGAATCCCACTTTCTTGTTTTTTTTCTTCTGTCCTTCTCGTCCACAGGTAAGACTCCAAAAGGCAACAGAGTTCTGTGCAACTCAAGAGAAGGAACTGGCCAAGGTAGAGGCAGAGTCCCTTTCCCTAAGGGTCTAGCCCAGGATACAAATAGAAGAGACCCCCAAAGTCTCAGAAACAACTTCTTGAGACAGGGCAGGGGGAGCAGCAAAAGTATTCGGCAAATGAATCTCTGATTCTCATACAGGTGAAGGAAAGAAAGCTTATATTAAATATATATGTATATATATATATGTATATATATATATCGGTCTATTTCTTAACCACTCAGCTACCTCAGATATAGGAGCCCCATTAGCACAATGGTTAGTCACTGGGCTGCCACCTGAAAGATTGGTTGTTCAGACCCAGTCAGGACAAAGAGCTAGAGATCTGCTTCAATAATGATTCCAGTGAAGAAAAGCCTACGGGGCTGTTCTACTCTGTCTGTCCCATGGGGTCGGTAGGAGTAAAAATGAACTCAACGGCCCTAACAATGACAATAACCTCAGTGCACACGGCTGAATCCCAAAGCCAAGGACCCTGAAACATCTCTGATGTTTCACTAGATCGGGAACCTGGCAACTTGCACAAACAATTCCTTTTGCTTAACATGCGGCCCTGACTCTAAATGATGAGATCATTGTTTTGTGATGTGGTTGTTTCCCTTCAGATAAGGAGTTGCCAGAGAACCAAGAAAGGGTCCAATGTACCAGTTAGGGGGCTCCATGGGCCAGCCTAGACTTGGGTGGAAGCAATTGTGCTTGTGGTTCTGATTTAAGGCATGGATTTGTTTGTTTCCCCTTTCTAGTTAGAAAGTGACTACCAATCTGTGTATCAGCTCTGTGAAGACCAGACCCACTACATCAAGGTACAGTGTTTCTGGGAGAACAGTCAGCGTAGAGACACTGTTTCTCTAGGGCTGTGGATGAGCAAGGCGTCCTTTGGTTTCTTGTCAGACTGAAATCTGCCGCTGGGGCAAAATGCCTTTGACACAGCAAGCGCGAAAACGGAACACAAACATTAGTAATGAACTTACTGTGCGCAAGGCATTGTGTCAAGCACTGGACCTCTGGTGTTTGTTCTCCCTCAGCGGGCCCCACACCTTTATGAGAATGATGTTGTCATGGTTGTGAGGAAACAGGTTTCGAGGAGTGGGGACACATCCTGGGGAACACGGCTAATAAGGGGCAGAGCTGGGATCTGAACGCAAGCAGAATCGGACACAAGAGCTCCCTTTTCCATGTATGTCTCTTCTAGTCACGGATAGCTCCTGATATTCCATTACAACACGCCCCTACCTGTGTGCACACATAGGCATTTCTGTGCATGCATGCACACACACACACCGTTTGGGATATTGAGCTAGTCTTAAAAGATATGTTTGCTATATGTTTTATCAATGCCATTGCAATGAAATCGATGGAAATCCTGAATTATGACCAATATCTCTCTATTTTTTATTTCCATGGAAAGAAATACCAGGAAGTTCTGAGAGCTATGGAACAGGAAAAGGACACGAAACTGCTTGAAAAAGAAGTGTAAGTTTTCAAAACGACTTCCCTGATGGACTGAAGTGATGATCGCATGACACCTTTGAAGGGCGAGTACATGGCGTCCACTCACATCCATCAAATCCTCTATCCAGCCCAGGCTCCAGGCTCAAGAAGCATCAGCATTGCAGCTTCTCAGCTGTTGGAATTTAGATGGTCTCTTTTGATGTGTGTGCTCTTTCATGTAACCTCTGTTGAGCGTCAATCCTGAAAATTGACACGGACCTGGTGCCAATAGGAAGAATCCTCAGGGGGTAAAAAAAAAGGAACAACAACTCTGGAAAGTCACTACAAATGTGCACTCTGTTCCCTTCTCCACACAGGACCTGTCAGACTGATGGGGAGACCCAATGATGGGCTTTGATGCGCTGTATCCACAGACTTGTATGTCTGAGGACTTTGTACCCTTTTGAATATCTGTTTGTGCTTTTTGTGTATGTACATTAGATACTCTATTAGACAATGTGTGTAGGGTGTGTACTGCGATGAATTCCGTCCATGTATGAGGATAAGTCAAAAGGTATTGTTACTAGGGTTGTGGGTCACACATCAGTGGGTTTATTGTAAACAAAACTTGCTTAAACCTGTCTCTGCCCTCAGAGCTACAATTGTAGTCTGTGGAAGACAGCTACTTGGCCAAGTGACTGGAAGAGATTAATATTTTACCCATTCCATATGAAGATGACCCACTAGAACACTTCAATGATAGCACAAGATCATTAATAGCACATGCAAGTAAAATAACGCTGAAAATGATCCAACAAGAGTTGTAGCAGCACCTTGACAGAGAACTGCCGGAGGTTCACGTCACATTCAGAAGAGGATATAGAGCGAGAGACATCATGGCTGACATCAGAGGGATCTTGGCTGAAAGCAGAGCATACCAGAAAGATGTTGACCTGCGTTTTATCGACTGCACAAAGGCATTCAACTATGTGTGTCATACAAACCATGGGTCGCTTTGTGCTCATGTAGAACCTGTAGGAAGTTGTGCAGAGAAAACAAGAGCATATTCGTGTTTCAAAATCAGGAAAGGTGTGCCTTAGGGTTGTATCCTTCACCACACGTATTCAATCTGCGTGCTGAGCAAACCCTCAGAGAAGCTGGATGATATGAAGAAGAATGCAGCCTCGTGGGTTACTCATCCACTGCCATTAAGTCAATGCTGATGCTAACTCATAACAACCCTGTAGGACAGGGTAGAATTGCCCTGGTACCTTTCCAAGACCATAACTCTGTGGGCATAGGAAGGCTCATTAACAACCTGTGGTATGCAGATGACACACCTTGCTTGCTGAAAGTGAGGAGGACTTGAATCACTTGCTGATGAAGCCTTCAGTGTGAATTACAACTCAATGTAAAACAACAACAACAAGAACAAATGATCAAAACTAGACTAATAGGTAATATGATAAACAGAGAAAATATTCAAGCTGTCAAGGGTTTTGTCTTGCTTGGGTCCACAGTCAATGCTCATGAAATCAGTCAAGAGCCCAAAAGATGTATTACATTAGGCAAATCTGCTGAACAAGACCTCTTTAATGTGTTAAAAAACAAGGATATTACTTTGAGGAGTGAGGTGCATCTCACACAAGCCATGGTATTTCCAATCACATCACGTGCACGTGAAAGCTGGGCATTGCATAGGGAAGATGGAAGAAGAACAGAGGCATTTGTATTATGGCGCTAACAAAGAGTAGTGAAAATACCATTGACTGTTAAAAGGACAAACCAATCTGTCTTGGAAGAAGTATGACCAGAGTACTTCTTAGAGGCGAGGATGAGGAGACTCCATCTGACACACTTAGGACATGCTGTCAGGAGAGGTGAGTACCTGGAAAAGGCTATCACACTGGGTCAAGTCTAGGAACCGCGTGGGAAGATTTTTGACAAGATGGATGGACACAGTGACTGCACTGGTGGGCTCAAACCTAAGGACAATTGTGACGATGGCACAGGAGGGGCACTGTTTCTTCTCATTGTACATGGGTTTGCTGTGAGTCAGAACTGACTCTACGGTACCTAACAACAACAACAACTGATTTGACCGCAGACACATTCTCTTAGTAATACAGTCTTAGTCTCCTTAGGTTGTCTTTAAAAAAAAAAATGCTCTGACCAAAACCTATCCAAGGGGATATGCCGGGTCAGTTCAATTGAAGACAATGAGATCAACTCAGAAGGTTCTAACAACTCTTTGGGGGACTTCCACAGGAGTTATCTTCTCAAATGACACAGGAAGATCATGGGGCTTATTAGGGGAAAAAATTTAAGAAAAGTGAAAATTGTATTGGTGAGAAAATGGCCAAGAAAGTAACACCAGATAATTTTTCCCATTGCCACAATGCACCCACCCTTTCTTAGATAATAGCAAGGTCTCTCCTATGAGAAATTATGGAGAAGCCTTCCCCAATCAACCAGATACCCCCGATCTTGACCCTTCAAACTTCTTTTGTGCCCCAAACTCAAAGGCCATTTAAAAGGAACAAATTGCAAGTCCCTCCTGGTGGCTCAAACTGCTATGTTGATCCAATGATGATCAAAAAGCATAGAATTCCTCCGGGGAGTGTTAGAAATGGAAACATTGCCGTCAGAAGAATATAATACGTGGAGAAACAATAGCCTCACTTTTTGACATTTTGTTGAAAGAAGGTATCTGTGATTTTGTTACCATATTTTTTACTTATCCTCAAATATGCACATGAAAGGGTACTTGGTGACACTGTAGGTTAGCTTTGGGCTGCTAACTGCGAAGCTGGCAGTTCAAACCCACCAGCTGCTCTATAGGAGAAAGGTGAGGAGCTGTCTGCTCCCATGAAGATTTACAGTCTTCTGTTCTATAGGGGCCTTATGCTGGAATTGAGTCAATGGCTGTGGGTCTACTTTGGGGGGAGTTTATATATGTTAGCATCACCCGGATTGAGATATAGAACACCTGAGCGCCTCCAAAGTGCCTGGCCCCTCATTACAAAGGTGACCTCTATCTGATGCTCTGGCTTCTTCATTTTTCTTCTACTTGAATCTATTTATGAGATTCTAAACATAATGACATTAGTGTGGCCTCTTTTGAGTACGGCTTCTTTTACTGTGAGATTTCTCTCTCTTGCGGCATTCAGTGGCAATTTGTCTTTTGTATAGCTGCAAAGTTTTCATTGTGTTAACCTGGCACAATTGATTTATTATATGGATGATGAATATTTGTATTAGAATTTGGGATAATTAAGAAAAAAGCTGTTATGAACATCCATGTTTACTTCTTTTGGTGGATATATGCACTCATGTCTTTGGGGTGTATATGTATATCTGAGAGTGCAATTGCTGGGACATAAGGTACACATCTACATATACTCACAGACATATACATATATGTAGACACCAATAGGGTTGCTATGAATTGGCATCAACTCAATGACAGTGAGTTTCGAGTTTTGTTTTGTTTTTTGAGGGATACATACCTTTAGATTTATTTGTTGGGATTAACACATATATCAAATCATTCAATGATGCTAAATAGTTTCCAAGGAAGGCTATATTAATACCCCTTCCCATGAACAATAGCTGAGGGTCCTGGTTATTTTCCATCCATCCATCCATATGAACAATCATTCTAAAGCCATAGGAGAATTGGTCTTTCCTTTTTCTTTTTTTAGCTTTGCCCACTCAGGTACAGTGATCATCTGGTTTGCTTTGAACAACATATTTCACTAATTATGGTATAATGACACGGTGTCTTTTCCAGTGCTCCTTGGATATGTAGATATCTTTTAAAAGGAGTTTTATTGAGCTATAAGGAATACATCATACAATCCAATCGCCCATTCACACGAAGAAGGGTTGTTCACTCATCAGCATAATCACCTTTGGACCATTTCCTTTCCTCTGGGATCCGCTGGAGTTGGTTCCCCACCCTCCCCGGCCACCTTGCCTGCAGCGTCTTTTGACTCATTTGGGAAGTTGTGATTCTTTTCTCTTACTGATGGAGTTTCGTACACTTTCCTGAGAAGGTCCTTTGTCAGATATATGTGTAATAGTCTGTTTATTGCTTTCCTTTTGAACTCTCATAATGGCATATTTCAATAAGCAATCATGCTTCATTTTAAATACATTTAATTAATCAAAGTTACCCGTCTTTCCTTTTAAGTCATTGCTTTCCGTCAGCCATAAAACAATGGTGTTTTCTTCTGGAGTTTTTTATTGTTTATCCTTTATATTTAAGTTTCAATTTCCTCTAGACTTTATTATATTCTGTGCTGTGAGATCAAGATACACCCCACCCCTGTAGAGATAGATTCGCCATGTATTACAGAGACCAGATAGCTCAGCTTTTAAAAGAAGTCAGATGACCATTTCTGTGTGAACCTATTTTAGGTCACTTCATTCTGTCCCGTTGGTCTGTGTTTGTCCTTGTGCTAGCACTACACTGTCTGAGTTACTATAGTTTTATCACTGGTCACAATCTATAGTAGTTCACGTTCTGGAACTCTGGTCTGCAAGACGGTCTTGCCTATGCTTGGCCTGTTGAATTTTCACATAAACATTAGAATCATTTTCTCATTTTCCACCAAAAAAAGAGAAAAACCTGTTGAGATTCTGATTAGAATTACATGGAATCTGTAGCTCAATTTGAGGGATAATTGTTACCTAAGCAACACTGAGCTTTCCAAACGATGAATATATGTATCATCTGTCCATATGTAGATATTTTATCATTTCTTTTTAGTTTTTATCATTTCTTCATTAGTTTCTGGTGTAGGGCACTTGGACAGCTTTAGTCAGTTTTGTTCCTAGGTATTTGATATTTTTTTATGCTATTGTAAATGGTGTGTTTATTCATTTGAGTTTTTTGCTAGGACATATAGAAATGCAGTGGATTTCTGTAAACTGAACTTGTATCATTTTACTTATTAATCATTAATCTTAATCAATTTACTTATTGGAATAATTTGTAGATTCTTTCAGAGTTCCATCTGTGAAGTGACAGTTGTAGCTCTTCCTTTCAATCTTTACACTTTTTACTTATTTCTCTTGCCTTATTGCATTAGCTACAGCTTTTTATTACATTAAATGATCTTTTATTTGGGGCTCTTACAACTCTTGTAACATTCCATACATCAATTATATCAAGCATATTTGCACATATGTTGCCATCATTCTTTTCTAGACATTTACTTTCTATAGAGCCCTTGGGATCAGCTCCTCTGTTTTTGCTCCCTCTCCCCGCACCCTTGTGCCCCCTTGATAAATTATAAATGATTATTTTCAGATCTTACACTGATGGCTGTCTCCCTTCCCCCATGGTTTCTGTTCTTCATCCCCCTGGAGAGGGGTGTGTGGTTATATGTAGTTAGCTGTTGAGATACTATTATGGAGCTATGGTGATAGTGAATGTTTTAGAATCTTGATGTACACATGCACACTGTCAGAGACAGGCATCACCTTAAGGAGAAAGCCCTGAGATCACTTTTACTGACTTCTTGGTGGTCCCCTCCTCTCTCCCCCCCATGTGGTATGCTCAGTTTCACAGCCCTGAATGCCAGGCTCTCTCTCTCTCTCTCTCTCTCTCTCTCTCTCTCTCCAGCTCACTGATGCAGCCACTTGTGATGCGGATTCTTGTCCCTTGCACCAACAATTATCAAATGCCCGGGGCGGGGCGGAGACCTGAATGAATGGAGAACTGGCTCGAGGTGCTTTCCTTCTACAGAGTTTACGTCATCTCAAGTCCTGACTGCATTGAAGGAGCCATTTTATCTGTTTTGTCCCTTTATGTAGTTTCTTTCAGATTTGGCTAGTCTGATACAAGTTGCGCTACCATAAGTTTACAAAAACAGAATCACAAAGTTGTCCCACCTTTATGTGATGACAAAATCACAAAAGATTACAAAAAAGAAACTCCCACCAAAATAGCTGAGCAGAATTTTACTGGATCTGACCCTCAAGTGAGGTGTCCAATCTGTACAAAACTACATGACAAAGCACATGAACCCTGACAAAAAGGCAAGAACCCCCAATTCCACTGCCATTGATTTGATTCATAGTTAACCTCGAGGAGAGAGTAGAGCTGCTCCTTATGATTTCAGAGACCTTAAATCTTTAGAGAAGCAATTTACTTCATATTTCTTCCATACATCTAGTGGGTCTGAACCATTGACCTTGTGATCAGCAAAGCATATGCAGATGATGGAGGGAAGATCGTACCAGGGAGAAGTGAGGTGTGGCCCCATCTTAATCACTCTAAGCCTGCCTAGACCAAACTTGGTGATGTGTGATGGTAAAACCTACAGAAAAAATCAGAGGCTTTCTGAGATTGAAAGGAATAAAAGGATGTGTGTGTGCAGATTTGGGGGCAATTAAAGCTTCTGGTTTAAGTTCATCTCAAATCTCTGGCTGACCCCAAACTCTGCATAGTCAGGACAGCCAAGGAACTAAAACCAGACCTGAGATTTCAGCTGCCACCAAGACTTTGCAATGTGAATCCAGCACCTGGGTTATATCAGGATTGGTCCCCACTGATTATCATTTCTCTTAGAATAGATTCCATCTAACCAATGCTTCACATGTTGAGCCATGAGAAAAAAAGTCTCATTGGCATATTATTCACATAGGCTAGAATGGAATAGTTTAGTCCGATTATGAAGAGTGGTCCAATCACCAGCACCGTCAGTTTCAGACCATCTTCTGTCCCACAATCATTGTTGTTAGCTTCCTGTTCCCTCCCCTGCCATACCCCTATGTAATTATTAATCTAGTTACTGTCCTGAGAGATTTCCCTATTCTGGATTTCATATGCAGAAAATCATACAAAACCAAAACAAATAAAGCTCAACAATGACAAAATAAAACAGAGAAAAACCTCAATAGAAAATCAAGCAGGAATATTAAACACCCAACAGGACAACGGAAGCTCAAAGTCCACTCGCAAGGTTCCCACACGAGTCAAGCCTCCAGTAAAGGCCGTCTGACCGTGGTCCAGGGATGTGAACAGCCTTGCGATGGGCTACAGAGCCCTGGAAAGGGGATTGCGGCAGATGTAGTTACGTTATAATGTAACCTCGTATCCTTTCATCTGCCTTTGGGGAGTAATTTTAAATGTGGAACATCATCAATTTTGTAAAATAATCTAAGAAACGACTAATGTTACATGACTTTAAGAAGCACTTTTTATCAGACCCTTAAATTATGTTACACACCGTTCTTCATTTTAACCTTTTTTTCCCCCATCCAGATCCAAAGCCCAGAATAATTTCTCCCAAATTGTAAAACCTGGGTCAATTTTGGTGGAAACCATCCAAAGCAACATGGTAAGTCTTCCCTGCCCCAATTTGGGGGGTTTTCTCTCCTTATTCTCTCTCATTTTTCACTTGTCTCTCCCCAACACCCTATCTCCTAATACTTATAACTATAAGATGGGGGGGGGGGGATTCAGCCTCGTCGTACTTTGTGCCCCAGCATAGCAGGTAGGAAGTAACAGTGCTGGGATTTAGACCTGGGCAGCCAGACGCTCAGGGCTGTGCTGGACTGTTTCTGGAACACACGGACATGCTTCATTTCCCCTTTCCTTCACTGCTTCCCATAGGAGAGAAAAATCATTAAGAAACAGAGGAAGATCTTCTGGTACACGTAAGTGGCATAACCTTGGTTTTTACTTAGTCTAGACCGGGGTAGGCACACTTTGAAGGCAGAGGAGCCAAGCCTATCCTTCACGACAATGGAAAAATTATTTGAGAGCCATGAATATATTTTTACAAACAAATGAAATCATCCTTATCTGAATAATCTCCTTTAAAGTTTTTCAACTTTACTTCCACATGTACACACTGAAAGGGCTACTGTTTGCTGACAGTTTACAGGGTCTAGACCACATTCACTCACTGGAAACAGGTGACTTAATGCAGAATGGCAGAATGAATACAAATAAGCACAACCCCCACCCAGAAAAACCCATACAGTGCGCAAGAAAACACACACACCCCTATCTGCACCTTTTATCATTTGAACATTAAATAATTATTGTCTCCTTTGAGACTTGTTTAGAAAAGTCAATGCTAGTCATATTACCCCAATGGAGTAGGAAGTTACTGCTTTGGGCTGCCAACTGCAAGGCCAGCAGTTCAAACCCACCAGCCACTGCATAGGAGAAACATGAGGCTTCTACTTCTGTCAAGATTTACAGCCTTGGAAACCCCGGGGGGCAAGTCCACTCTGTCTTCCAGGATCATGATGGGTCTGAAAGATTCTAGGGCACTTGGTGTGTTTGTTATGTTAATGCCAGAGGTGGCTCAACCTCCATTAACTCTGGCACTGCTTGCTAGAGGGGGTCCAAAGAGGACCACTGGCCACATACTCCGAAGTGTAAGCATCTTGGACATTTTATGATCACACACAAAAGGCCTGCCCCATCGATAGTGTCTGGAACGTCTTTATACCTTTGGACTTCCAACATGACTATTCTGGGTTCTGTTCTGTTGGCGGACCTAAAGGCTAGCACACCTGCATTCAATTCTACCATGTCGATATTTTGTGTTTGTTTTTGTTTGATCTTACCCCCTGCTATCCAACCCTATGTTTCCCACCAGGTTCGTCTGAAGAAAGTTGGAGACCAAAGCAATTGTGAGGTTCACTGCGGTGAGCGGACTCATTCCCCCAGGCTAATGAATGTCTGTCTCTTTGGCAGGCATTTTCGCTGTCTGGTCTTCTTCAGCACGATCTTCCTTAGACTGTTGGGTTATGTGCTTTTCCATCTACAGTGCATAAATCCCAACCTTTTTGCGGAGACCCTGCCCATGGTAATGAGCAGAAGCACCCTGAAGAGCCTAAGGGACTTCTTGTCCCCCTTCCTTACCCTGGAGGTGGAGGAAGTTCTACCACACTAGCCTGAGGTGGCGCGGGGTGTGCACGCCCTGCAGAAGTGGAGGTAACATGGCTGTGCCACGTATCGGGCGATGGGCCAGAGAGGACCGAGAGCCTTCAATGCAGCTATTACTTGGATTTCCTCTTCATTTCATTCTCTTTCCTAGCTTTCCCTCTGGACTGTGTCCCTTTGAAATAAAAAGTATGTGTGACGAGAGTCCTTTGTTCTGGTCTGTGAATGTGATCTGTGTGTCCTGGAGCTCCAGGTGAATAGACAGGTTCAGAGACAAGCTCCCATGTGTTGGATCCCCTGTGCTGTTAAGAAAAGCGGCGAGGTAATAAAAACTGCTTGTATTAATCCCCTACAGCTCTCATAATAAAACCCCACAATGGGATAGCGTTCAACAATAGATGCGTGTTGGTTGACAGTTCTGGAGGCCAGGGGCCCATATCATTGTGGTGTTCACTCCTGTCATTTCCAAAGTCTCCAACAGATGTGTTCTTGTCCTTCGCAGCTTCTGGTAGCTCTGGAGTTCTCCGGCTTGTCGATGCATCCCCATATGACCATCTTCCGCTGTCTCTCTGCACATCGTCCCTCAGAGCAACAGTCATTATGGGATTAGGACCCGCCCTACTTCAGCATGGTAGCATGCTATCTGGTCACATCCTCAAAGACCCTGTTACCAGACAAGGCTCTGGCCAGGGTACAAAGTGGTTAGAACATCAACATGTTCTGGGTGAGCATCAGTCAATCCAGAGCACTCCAGGAAGCGGTCCACCCTGTTCCATAAACCAAACCAGGTGTCCACGGGTGGTGTCGAAGTTACAAGTTGAGCTGCAAATCACAAGTTCAGAAGTTTGAAACCACCAGCAGCTCTGCAGGAGAAAGATGATGACTTCCAGGCTTATAAAGAATTACAGTCTCAGAACCAGGGCAGTTCTACCTTGACCTCCAGGTCATGACTCAATGGCAGTGAGGTGGTTTTTTTTTTTGATTGTCTGTTTCAGAGCCTCAAAGGGAATTCAAGAGGGCAATCCCCGCATAGACATAAGGCTGTGCCTTTCAACTCTGTTCATAACCCGATATGGGCCCTAGAGCTCTTTGATGCTACAGCATGCTCTGTGTTACAGGAGGGGCATGGCCTGAAAAACTAGCCTTTTCCTCATATTCACGTAGTTGCTCAATCACTAAGAAACTCAAATGCCTTAAATGGCAAGTGTCCTGTGGCAGTGTGTGTGACATAAGAAAGTGCTTCGGATGCAGCCAAATGCAATGTTGCATCCTACCTACTGCTCACGCCCCAATTCAAAGGGCATCTCTTCTCTAATGCCGCCTTCATCCTTCTCCATTGGAAACTGTCACCCTCCCCTCTTTCTGAATTTTAAGCCCCCTCCCTGCCCCCATAACCTGGGCTTCCCTTTCCATCATGCTCGCTCTACCCTGCTGGGGCATCATGGTAGCCCTTGGCTGCAGGAACAATGACCTTTCTATATCATCCACAGGACGCGCTAACATGGAATCTTTATCAAGTACTTAGTAAAAGAGGTAATAGGAACCCCGGTGGCATAGTGGTTATGGGCTAGGCTGCAATTTGCATAGTCGACAGTTCAAAACCACCAGTGGTGGCTCAGGAGAGAGAGAGGGTTTTCTACTTCTGTAAAGAGTTACAGTCTCGGAAACTCACAGGGGCAGCTTTACCCTGTCCTGTACACTCGCTAGGAGTCAGCATGGATTCTGTGACAGTGAATTTGGTCTTGAAAAGGGGGTCATCTCTTGGCTCGTTTGTATTTCTTTTGTAGAGTAAGTGTCTGGAAGGGGTGGGGGGTGGGGGGCACAATGAGCCAGGAACCCGTCTTGTGAGATTGCACATTTTTGCAGGTACAGCCAACTGGACATTGGTGGTGTTGAGGACAGGGAGGCAGAGGGGGGTCCTCTGGCAGCTGGCCATGGCTCCAGGCCTCCAGAAGCAAAGCGGTGGAGGGGACCTCCAATAAATGCCTCAGGGTTTTGCTGTCTGGTGGCCTTTGTTTCGGTAAAAACCGCTCCGCTCTTGATAATTGTTTTAACAGATTCTCACATGAACAACAATGTCTGGCGAAGGGACACTGAGTTGCCCTTAGCCCTAGATATGGCTCTGGCCCATGTTTTCTGTAAGGGACAGAGGGAAGAGTATGATCTCAGATCAAACAATTCAAAAACCCCAAACTCACTGCCATCAAGTAGATTCTGACGCCTGATGACCGTACAGGACAGAGTGGAACTATCCCATGGTGTTGCCGAGGCTGCCAATCTTTACAAAAGATTGGGTCCTGAGAGGTAGCTGGTGAGCTCAAACTACAAATATTTTGGTTAGCAACAAAACGGTTTTAACCACTTCACCAACAGGGCTCCCTGTCTTTGAGACAAACACATAGATTCACTGCCATTGAATTGATTCCAATCCATAGGGACCGCCTAGGACAGGGTAAAACTGCCCTTGAGGGTCCCCTAGACTTGAAATCTTTGCAGGAGGAGACAGCCTCATCTTTCTATGGCATCGTGGTAAGTAAAAACTGATCTTTACAGTAAGCAGCTCCTCCTTAGCCCATCAAGCTGCCAAGTCTCATCTTGAACAGGGCTCTTAAAAAACAAAACAAAAACTGACCAACATCGCCCTCTTGTGACCAAATGAAAGCTCTTTGCATTCAGCTGGCTTCACCCAAAAGCCTGTGATCAGCAAGTGGAAACGGGAAGAACAAAGAACGGGCCAGATCTCCCTCTGTGCAATTCCTCTATAAGCTTTAGTGAGTCTTCATTCACTCAACAAAGACTTGAGTTTTCTTTTGGTTCTGAAATTGCAGTAACAAACAAACAAACAAAAAACCCACCCATAAGTAGAGACAGACAATAAACAAATCATTGAAATATTTAAATATCAGATGGTAAGTGGCAGGAAAGAGTGAATCAGAGAGAGAAAGAGGGACTGCCCAGCAGAAGTAGTTGTAATGTTCCTGAAAACAGAGCATTAGGACAAAGACCTAAAGGAGAAGGAGCCACGTGGGCACCAAGGAGTGTGACATGGCATCTAATGAACAGTCTTGAGCGTGGCCCATATGTATGCCTGGAGAATCAGGGGTTCTTCTGCTGATTCTCCATTCACACCTCAGAGACGGTCCCTTAATTGAAATCTCTTCACTTGAACCATCTGAGGTGACTTCTCTTTACTGCCAGGACCCTGACTAATAGATACATTGGCCAGATCATTCATGAGGCTAAAGAGTTTCAGCATTTGTGACTCCTCTTTAGCCAGGAGCCCTGGTGGCATAATGGCTATGCATGGACTGAGATCTGCAAGGTCTGAAGTTTGAAACCACCAGTTACTTTATAGATAGAAAGTCCAGGCTTTCTCCTCCCAGAAATCGCTACAGTCATGGACACTCACAGGGGCAGTTGTACTCTGTCGCATAGGGTTAGTAAGGGTCAGCGTCGACTCCAGGGTTGTGAATTTGGTTTGGGATTTTGAAAAGAACCGCCGCTGGATAAGAAATAGATCAACAGTATTTCCAAACTCACTCCCATCTTCTTCCACACAATCTCTCATAAACTTGGAGATTCCCTGGCTCTCCTCCACTGCTAAGTCCTTACCAAAGGCACACTCACAGACTCGCACACGTACAGCCACCTGTCAAGATTAACTAGGCAAGATCCGCTTTGGAAAATACAGACCAGTTAGCCCTTTGCTTACAGTCAGTTATGCAATGGGGAGGTCGGGACTTGGAGCTCAACTGGAAATCCAGGTTGCAGAAGCCTACCTCCCAGTAAAATCTTGGGTCCAGAAGCAGCTGGGTGGCATTGCCAGATCTTGGAAGCAGAAGAAGGGTTATCACTGACATTAAACAAACAAAAAAGCAGTATTAGGTTAAACCTCTTTCAGTAACAGGGAGCTCCCCTTCCCCTTAAATAGCCATCCATCTCTGAAAGGTTTGAATAAAATAATACACAACAAGCAAGATGTGGTGAGTATTCAACTAACACTAGTTCCTTTGTCTTATCGTCAATAAAAGCTTGCCTTCATGTACTACTTTATCTTAGTTCTGTCCTGTTAAGCAACACGGAAAAAAAATGACTGCCTCCTTCATATTTGCATCACTAAAACTGAAAGGCCTTCTATTCTCCAGGATGAATATTCCCAAGTCCGCTAACCAATTTTCACATGATGTTGTAGCCCTTTCCCTCCTCAGACACCAACCAGTCTGGAGAGAGTACCACAGATGAGGTCAAACTGGCAAAGTACAGTAGCCCCCTCTCCCCTTCTCCTGAGCACTGTGCCTTTACGAATGCTGCCCAAGATTTCATTAGCCACCTGGGCAGTTGCCTCACACATTTAGACTGAGGTTGGAGTCTATATTGATTTCTGACCCGATTGAATATGAATTATTCTTACGCTCCATCTTTTTGTATTTGTACAGCTTTTAGTATTTTTAAAAATCATTTTATTGGGGGCTCGTACAAGTCCCATCACAATCCATACATAAATCCATTGTGTCAAGCACATACGTACATTTGTTACCATCATCATTCTCAAAACACTTGCCTTCCACCTGAGCCCTTAATATCGGCAGCTAATTTCCCCCCTCCCTGCCCACTCCCCCCTCCCTCATTATTATTCTTTTTTAACCTTACGTTTAGGACGTTCCTCTTGCTCTGCCAAATTTCACTCGGTCGGTTGAGTGTCTTGTAGTCTTTTGCGGCACTCAGAGGCCAGAGACACCCTTGGAGTGTAAACGGATGAAGTTTGAAAGCAGGGAGATTTGGTTCTGAAATCTCCTTGGAATAGTTGTGTGGCCTCGGGCAGTTTGTTAACCTTTCCTTTAAAAAGGTTAATCGTGCTTCCCTCCTCTTCTCCTGAGAGAGTGGCCACAGCTGCAAGCAAGTTCTTTCTGAATTCGGAAAGGGAATGTCTTTGAGTCTGCCCACTTGAAACCATTTAAGTGAATTAAACTCTTTATCATCTCAGCTACCTTTATAACATAATTACCTGTT